TTAAGTGGTCTTGCTATGCAAGAACACTTAATAATATATATGTGAGATAACATTAAGTGGTCTTGCTATGCAAGAACACTTAATAAGAATAAGAATAAGAATATATATGTGAGATAACATTAAGTGGTCTTGCTATGCAAGAACACTTAATAATATATATGTGAGATAACATTACTGGTCTTTCTATGCAAGAACACTTAATAATATATATGTGAGATAACATTAAGTGGTCTTGCTATGCCAGAACACTTAATAATAATAATAATAATAATAATATATATGTGAGATAACATTAAGTGGTCTTGCTATGCAAGACCACTTAATTATCGTTGCAGGTTTCCTACAAAAATTAGCATACCACACGAAGGGAAACTCACCTGCATTAATGATGCAAAAGACCTGAAAAGCTGGTTAAATAAAATAAAATTTGAAACAGTCTTATCCAGCAGTCAACAAATAAGGGTAAGGGAAAGAGTGATAAGTTTAAGACTAACACAAGTATTGCACAATAAAAAAGAAGGAAATAGTGAGACAATAACACTTATTTAATAATATTATGAAATAATATGATGTAAGTGTGAAGGGATTAGATTAATAAGATTTCCTTTATCATTTGTTACATCCGTTTTTTTTCTTCTCCTCTCTACCTTCTACTATGATGTGCCTATAGGTAGGCTCATCTCAGATCAACTACCCTCAGCACGCCTTTCCCACAGGATATGTGGGACCTATATCTTAGTATTTTATTACTCAAGGTACGGGATGACGGGGGTTTTCCACCATACAATACTTTTGTTTTAGGTTAATGCCATTGTTTTGGATCAACCTGGCTTATTTTTGTGTAAATATCAAAAAAGAAGGGTTCTTTGTTTTTCACATATATATGGTAACACTTAGAGAGAGAGTCCCAAAAACTGACAAGAAAATATAAATTAAGCTGATCTCAAGTGGTCTATAATTTATAAAAAATCAGGTACAAATCTGTGCCCTGCAAGAAACCCATTGGACAAGGTACCCCACTATTATAAGTGCAGCTTTAGAAAATAAAAGAAAGAGGTGTCACATTTGTCTTTGCAAAAATGTTTCCTTAAACATTAAACTTCAAGAATCAGATCCAGAAGGCTGATATATTATTTTAATAGGTGAAATAAATAACAAGCTATACACATTAGCCAATATCTATGCACCAAATAAAGCTACAATAAAATTTATAACAAAAGTGTTTTTAAAAAATAGAGCAGATTAAACAAGGATTGGTACTAATTATGGAGGGCTTTAATTGTGTAGTTGACTCGCTAAGACAGAAAGAGTCAGAATGATAGAAAATATAGGAAAACAGGGGAGATTATATTGCAAAATTTACTGAAAAATCATAATCTAAGAGATATATGAAGAACATTCCACTCTGCCGATTTAGATTACACGTTATTCAAGAACATTTAATTCATACTGCAGAATAGGTCTTGTTTTGGGAAACGTGACCATGCTATATCTTGTCAAAAAAAAATTATGTTGGAATACAAAGATAATTTTGATACTTTTCATAAAGAATGGCAAAAATAAGATTTTATATTACACAAAAACAATGTGGAAAACATTAAAAAGAGAACACATTTGTTTTTTTTAGAAAATAAAAGCAAAGGCACACCGGACATCACGGTCTGGTGCACTTATAAAAGTATAATTAGAGGCCATTTGATAAAAATCAGCTATCGGGGGGCGGGGCCTGACCAGCATGGAAAATAGACGTGCCACTGCCGAGCTCCTCAGAAAATAGGGCAAAATAGACTTTTCAGCCCTAAAAGCTTATAAAATGGCAACCCAAATAGTCTCATCTGACCCACGAAAGGGCACTTAACCGACCTTGCAGCCTGCGATCACTCTGAGGCCGGCTGGCAGCCCGACTTGCGCCATGAGGCCTGGCAACCATAGAGCGGGAGAGGCGGCCGATCCCCTGGTCCGGTGCCATGAGATGCTGACACAGCACAAGCAGGTCGCGGTCCACACCTGAGAGACAAGTCGAGACCGGAGCGGGAGCAAAGGGGGAATGCACGGGGAAGTAAGCAACACGACGCTGCACCCAACATGGCAGACGCCACACAACACTTAATAATATATATGCAAGAACACTTAATAATATATATGTGAGATAACATTAAGTGGTCTTGCTATGAAAGAACACTTAACTAGAAAAGCTACAATTTCTGGGGAAATTGTGTGAAGTGTTCTTGCCTCCACCAGTAGTCTACAACTGGAGTGGGCGGAGTAACTGTTCTCATTTATATAGCACATTTAATTGCAACGTTGTTGCACAGTTACATTAAACCATACATTTATAAAAACATTAGCAGGTGTTTAAAAGGCCCTGTCTATGACATCACTTGCTGCTGCAGCCTGACACAGGTCAGAGTATAAACTATAAATCCTACAGTGAAGAGCTTTATATTGTGAGAATCACAAGACCCAGACCTACATTTTGATGCATAGTATGTCTCTACAGACCCACAGCATGGGACCCGGCAAAGACTAGAAGCAATCCTCGACAATTTCTGGCTCAAGCTGGAGACCAAACTGAATCCGACAGCCTCACCACGGATAAGCAAAAGCCATAAAAGCAACAAGCATGGCGCTACCGAGAGGGCTGCCGAGCCACAACCCAAACAGAGCAACATGGGCCTATCAGCGCGAGAGCAGAAGGAAGCCTGTAAACCCAAATTAAAAACCAAACCAGCATCTCCCGTCAAAAGGGCGTACAAAGCTGCTGTCCTGACTACCCGACATCCTTCTGGGCTGGGAGCCCATCAGGGGTTTACCCCATGCCGTCCATACACCCGTGGGGACACCCGGGACAGGGAGAACCCGCAGGCCCTCGAGCTAACCACCATGTCTGGGAGGCTCCATGGACACAAGGCGAGGGCTCTCGCTAAGGCCCGGAGCCAGAGAGCTGGGAAATCGAGCTGCAGCGGGAACACCCGAACGGAACGGCGAGACCACCATCACACGACCACCCCCCCTTCTTCCAGAGGAAATCGCATACAGACACCAGCCAGGAGAAGCAATACCGACCTGTGGACACTACCTCTGAGCACTACCTATGCCTCACTTACAGGCACCACGAGCGTGCCGACTAGGGGAGTCGGCTGACTTTCGGTAACACACTGGGGACTAGCCTGCTGCCTTATCACCACGTCCATACAGATTTTAGGTTGTGCATTTTTATATTTTGAGATATACAAACAACATCAAACTCTTAAGTGATCTTCATTGTTTATTCATTTCTGTTTGATTTGCATTTTTCAAAATAATCTTTTAACAATCTTATAATGTCTTATTACGCCCACTAGACATGTTCCCAGATAGCCTGTCACCTGCTAATTCCATGCTGACAAGCCTGACCACCTGGTAATTTATTTGTTTCTTTTTCCTTTCACATACTCGTGTCCCATAAGCATGTATTATACCCCGTTATCATAATTACTCTAATTCATACTCACTTTCAGGCACCTTACCAAGCCTCATACTCTGCTACTGTTAAGCATAGTTTGTCTAGCCAGGCATATTTGCTATTGTCAATTTAGGTGGTTTAGTACTCCAGGAAACACTGTATCAGAACAGGCTCTAAGGGCATCGGCTCATTAAGCTAAAGGCAACCTCTACAGCAACACTTGCTCTACTATTCTTTTTGTTTTAACCTGTAAACCTAATCGCATACAATGTGTGCTGTAGCCCAATCAATTACCTCCAGTGGCACTAATAGCCTGATAACTCTCTCATGCTTCCTACGCTTCTGAATTTAACTATTGCTGTAACCCCCACCAGTGCATAGGACATGCTTTATATCATCATTAGTTACCATTTCCATGCACTGTGTAATACTCATCTATACTATCAGCCATCTTTACTAGTTACCAAGCCTTGCTACCTGCCATTATAATTATAAATATTGTGCAGTATTTCAGACAGGCATAAAGTACTCTTGTTAACAATCACTCATGTTTTACTATGCAATGTCTTTGTTACTCTGTGAATTCTGCAACGCACAACAAAAAAAATAAAGAATTTATAAAAAATAAAAAAATGGCAGCTATCGAAAATAAAAAAGGACTACTGCCTCTCTTTAACCTATATATAAAACACTAAGTGAATACAAAAGGCAAAATAAAACACCCTCCACACAAACAGCAAGTAAGATTGCAGAAATAGAAAAACAGATTAATAATCAATAACTAAAGCAACCAAACAATTAGAAGCATTACAAGCTAAATGGTACTTAAAAGGCAATAAATCAGAAACAATTATGTCCAATAAATTGAAAAAAGATAAACATAAAAGATAATTTATAAAATAAAAGATAAAGAAACCTACAAGAAACAGAAGCAAAATTGTGTATACAAGACACTAAATAAGAAAATAGTAATCTAAGTATTTTTGTGGTATCAGCAGCTGTTAAACACGTAGTGGATATCCCAAATCTCCACAAAACCAGAAAGTACAGAAAAAACAAACTCGGTGTTTTGACGCTCAACCCCACCACCCAGCTCACAGAATCCAAAGTGCAGCGCTTCAAACAATTTTTCCACTTACCACTTGGCATATAAAGGGGTTTTTTTTTCATGTAAAAAACAGAAATATATATAATAGTGCAATATTGTTTATTACTTCAATAGTATATATATTAAGGTGAATATAAGAAAAACTCAAATTTTGTAGAGCCTTTTTCGATATTGGCTCTAAACAAAAGGAGCATGTGGGCCTTTTAGGTGGCACCAAATACCTTCTTCTGTATGGATAGGGTATTTCTTCCCAACAAAGATATGGAGATATAAAATATAAAGAAGAAAAAACAATCTAGGTGTGGCTGATATTTAACAGGTAAGTATATGCTTTGATGAAAATTGCCTGCTCACCTTATTTGGAGCCTGTTAGATAACTGGCTCCAAAAATTCCCATTTAATGTCAAATTCCTAGGGTGACACTTCCCTGTTGGAACCGGAGTGAAAGTGAAGGATGAAGAGAAAAGGACTTTAACCTTTTGAATCTAGGGTAGGGTAGTTCTTCTCTACTACATTACCCATATTGCACCTCTTGGTGTTTAGCGATACCTCATATCCAGTTATTCGTTCTTTGTCCATTACTCTCATGTATATTAAAATATCAATTTGATACATAAGATACAAAGAAGAAAAAACATAAGAAAAACTTGTATAAATAACAATATATTTAACCCCTTAAGGACCATGGATGTATCAGATACGTCAGACAAAAAAAAGGTCAATAAGGAACGCAGACGTACTTAGTACGACTGTGGCAAATAAGAACCCTGGACTTACCTGGACTGGCGATCACTGTCCGGGGGGACCTCAGTTGTCCCCCTGCAGCATCTCTGGCCACCCAGGCCCTCTCTCTCTCTCTCTCTCTATATATATATATATATATATATATGTATACATACATATATTATCTCTCTATATATAATATGTATATATATGTCTTGTATTTTTTGTTAATGTATACATATATTCATATAAAAATACACTTAGAATAAAATTACACACATATATATATATATATATATATATATATATATATATAATTTATATAATATATTGGAAGGCAGGGCCTGAAGTTGTGGGAGGGGTTATGTCCCTTTAAAAGGGACTCCCCCCTCCTACCTAAACTTACCTACCGGTCCAGACGTACTTCTGGACTTCCGGTTTCCCTGAGTGGTGGCAGTTACAGTTATCAGCTCCTACTGACAGCTCGCCGGCTGCCTCGCTCCGCTGACATTCTCTGCTGCCCAGCCCGCTCGTTTTCTCGCCTGGCGGTGAGTGGGCAGACCAGTATTGTTTGCCGGTCTGCAGCATAGGTTTGGCCTGGTCCGCTGGGGCCCACTACTACAGGGCACACACGGGGGTACTGCACGCATGCGCTACATGGGCAGGTTTGCCCGGTCGCCAGGCGACATGCCACACAGTGAATGCCCCCCTGCCCCCCCCCTCCAGTGGCGGATGCCACGGAGGGCTCGGGCGAGTCCAGCCCCCCCCCCTGCCCCCCGGCGACAGCTCGTAGGGCTCAGATTAGCCCAGCCCTCCCTCCCCCCCAGCGGCAGCACGGAGGGCTCAAGCGGGTCCAACCCCCCTTCCCCCCAGCGACAGCACAGAGGGCTCAGACAGATCCAACCCCCCCCCCCAGCAACAGCGTGGAGGGCTCAACGGATCGGGTCCCCCACCCACCCCAGACCGCAGGTGCACAGCAGAGTTGCACCGGGGAGGGGGGAAATACAGCTCGCACACCGTGGGTGTTCACCGGCGGCGTTGCGCTGGATCGCAACTCTCATCACCCCCCCCCCCCACGATGGGCCTTACTTACCCGTCAGAAGGGAAATCACTCACCCGGCTGGAACTCCCTCTACAGGTTCAAGTCTGCTACTGCCATAAAGCACGTCCAGTTTTCAGCATTACAAATGGCAAAGCAGGCTGTAACCTCTAGGGGCAGCACAGTCACTCACAGGCATTTAAAGGGGAAGTCACATTACACATTTCTAGTCAAGTGCATATATAATATAATAGATATTACTGTAATAACGGAGTATATAATCGATAAATAGAATCGCCTTCAACTGCACCTCCCATGTCATTAAATTATAAACAGCACCTGACAAGTCATGTATTCATAACTACACCTCCCCCCCACACGGGGAGGAGTTTCACAGGGTACACTCCCTCCATAGTATACGCCGGTCTATTCTGCCAGCTATGAGCGGTCACGGCTCAAGCTCCACCTGCCTCATTAAGCACGGCAGAGGGGCATGAGCAAGGGGGCAGTCCCAAGCTCACCACTCTCAGCCATCCAGGCCTCATTGAGTGAGTGATACTCAGTTTCTACACACAAGGTGCATACTCATAATTGTTCATCATTTAAGCATTATGGAAATATAAGGTTATTCTGGGTTGTCTTATTACGGGCAACCTAAGGACAGCACAACGCCACCTGGTGGCCTTATTACCCGTGACAATCACTGTGTACATATGCAGTAATTCAATGTCTTTACAGATGACTGAACAACTGTTAGCACTACGGGTAATATGGAATTAATCTCCAAGGCATGCTTCAGGGGTATTGCCAGGCCAATATTTTGTAATTTTGTTATACAGGTCTACCTTCGTGTTCATAGACCTAGTTATAACACAAGAAGTGTCTGGCTTAAACTGTTACGTGCAGTTGGTATCAGGGATAAGGTTCAAATCATATCCTTACATTGGTACGGGCACGATTCGTCACAATCATGCGCTCATTACTCAGACATCGTACGGCACTCAGGGCACAAGCACATAAATATACGCTGGGTACAAACGGTACCGAGCAGACATTTACCGTACTGCCGTAACTTATTCTGACATATGTTACAGACTCAACAAACTAAACTTAGACAGAATTGGCTCATCAGATCCCACAGTATATGTGATGTACCAGAACAATTCTTACGTCATCCAAAGGTATTGGTAGGTGACCATACCGTACGCACACAATACGGTCGTTGAGGATTTTCTGCAGCGGCAGGTGAGTACAAACTCATATGTACCCAAGGCCTGCCAGTCTGTCATCCATAATCTGTTTGAGGCCACCCCCCTTTTAGCAGAATCTCAGACTACTGCAAACACTGAGCATACCTTGTTCATACAGGTACGTTTCTCCCGGTTCCTTAAACACTAATTTAGTATAAAGATTTGTTCCATAAGACAAGTTGGCATGGCCACCTAGGTATTTCTCCCAGGCACCTTATGCCTTAGAGATAGAGGTCCTGCGAGGCCAACACCCATCCTCCACGAAAGAGGTAATCACGCCCCACGGGCCAAATCATAGCTAGACGCCTCGCTTGTTGCATAGCAAGGGAATCACTCGTCACACTCCCTCCGCAAACCAAAGAAACACTCTTTGTAAGTTCATATCCAACAGATCACACCCCTCGCGCCAACCATAGGTAGAGGCGACCCAGCCACTTGGCAACTAGTAGGGATTCACCTGTCACCAGTCTAACATATTGTTTTGGCACTAGTATAAACAACTGTATACACCCTCAAGAGAACTCATAATTCCCATATACATATATTTCCCAAGGTCCGGAAGAAGGAATTTACATTTCTATTCCAAGCTCATTGCCTCCCAGGATGTCACAGAGTACCGCTCATACACCTAGGGTGTTATCTCAGTGGTCCTTAAGGCCAGAGACACAAGACGGAGTACAATTATTCATCAGTATAGTTATAACCTTCATGGTCTTGTGTCAGTACAGACACTACTGCATGTCACAGGACTCAGCCTATACTACTGGCAATTGTGTCCAGTATGTCTACCGTCAGGTCATTGGACTCAGCACATATATAGTATATTTAGGTATGGCATTTCAACACCTATCATGTTCCCCATGTAGACCCTACAACGATCATATGTTACGCTGAAAGTTATGGTACGATATCAGTATGACCATATTTCAATTATAGCTACGCCGTCATAACCAGTAACTTTCAACTGATCTACAACTTAAATAAACCACCAACCCCTCCCCATTAAATTCCACTCAGACTTACGTTACCTCCCAATACCACTGCAACTGCAGTGGGCCTCTCTCAACCTCTTATACATAGTCCTCACACAAAGCCATCTAAGGGCCTTTGCAACATACTTCAGGAACCTTAGTGGACAATTACATCTTATTTGCAACCCCTCATTTGGGCACTAAGTTCACATATCATCTGGATAGGAATATATGCGTAAAGTTCAGCTTTCTCACAACTTTCTATCTGTAATCAACCAAATCTTATAGTATTATACATCTGCTATATCTTGCACCGTCCACATACTGCCACACAGTAACTCTCCTCACGACACTACCTACACGGCCTACTCCTGGCCAAATGCACAGTATGTTATAATTCCCTCATAAGAGATGTTCTCTTTACCTCTCTTATTTTACTAAGTCAGTCTAGCATACTGTCAATTTACGACGCGTGCAATATGCCACATACATTATGACTCGTACTTAATTAACATGTGGGGCATTTAGGTTTCCCTCGGTCGACCATACTAGTCAGCCGCCATCGTGCTTACATAACCATTCCATACTGGACTATTCCCACGTCACCACCGCATATTAGAAGAGTTCATATACATGATATGTATACTGTCCTTCCCGCTTCCCTGGCTATTTGACTGCTCGGGCAACCATGGTACGAGTTACCACATTAGCCAGGCACGTTCAATGCCTATTGTACGGCCTTACCCAGCATCCAGGCTTTTGAGCAATGCCAGCTTACAGGGTCAACCATCACCTTATCATACCTGCCAACTTTTATTCACAACCAGACTCTTTACACGTTACATACGTCCCGCCAAAGGGCTATCCACTATAGCATGATATCGGCTCCTCATGTGGGCTATTACATACGGCATAGGAATTACAATTTGACATAAGTTATCACGTTGCCACAACCTACCACAGCATGCCTCTACACATGGCTCTCACTAGGCCATCACTCTCACGTTACATACGACCCACTGCGGGCAATCCACTACGACTCAATTCAGCCCCACAGTTGGGCAGTCATATACGACCAAGGTCACGTTAGACCGCTCAAATCCTCACTATACGTCCCGCCAAAGGGCTATCCACTATAGCATGATATCGGCTCCTCATGTGGGCTATTACATACGGCATAGGAATTACAATTTGACATAAGTTATCACGTTGCCACAACCTACCACAGCATGCCTCTACACATGGCTCTCACTAGGCCATCACTCTCACGTTACATACGACCCACTGCGGGCAATCCACTACGACTCAATTCAGCCCCACAGTTGGGCAGTCATATACGACCAAGGTCACGTTAGACCGCTCAAATCCTCACTATACGACCGTTCTCGTCATGTACAACTCCAGTCACAGACACTTACGCAATCTCCAATATTAGTTCCTGCTGGTAAATTAGAATGTCCAACATACTTCATACACATTTCAGGTTCTTCTAGCAGAAAGACGCCCAGCGGGAACTCACCTAGGCTCAATATAGTTAGGTGTCTCTTCCCTATACATATATATGTCTTTAACTAGGTTCATACACATATGTTGTCGCCCCGATGCAATGGCTTACACAGAGTTTGCTGCAACCTCAGGGGACAGTTGGCTATGAAGTAGGCGGCCAGACGAAGTTAGACATTAGTTTACTACACAGAGTTTACTGCACATATCGAAGGTCATGTCAGATCACCACCTTACAACTGGTTCAAGTATACAACGTTGGGGGGCTTTCGCCACTTTTTGCCACATCAAAACAATATCACACAAGACCATTAAGTTATATCTCCCGGACATTCACTGCCACATGTTTTCAGTTACAAACACCATTCTCAAAAATGGCCATATACTTGGCTTTTATGGTTTCCCACGATCAGAGAATTTACCATCATAGGGCAACACGATTCCAAGCTTTGCCTACGGTATTCTAACCTGTACAAATACAGGATCACTTCTTATTAACTTACCATCAACTACTTCCAGCCAGAGGGGTCACGAGGTACTTATTCAGTACTACCCCACCAACAACACTTACCTCAGCCGACACAGGAATTAAGGAATGCATTTGTGTAATGTCACCGTAATACGCTAACTCCATGTCTTGTGGTTTCGTAATAAACATCTTAGATTACACTATATGGGTATTCCTTTTTGCCCACTTACTTACAGGCCTATAACACACGTCGGTTTCGGCACACCTCTACCGACTTTTTGATTATTGTGATAAGTATACTCTCTAGCTATTTCATACTATACTGAAATGGCCCCGACCACAAATTGGAAGGCAGGGCCTGAAGTTGTGGGAGGGGCTATGTCCCTTTAAAAGGGACTCCCCCCTCCTACCTAAACTTACCTACTGGTCCAGACGTACTTCTGGCCCACCCTCCTCTCCCTCAAGTCAATACTCTATTTAACACTCTTTAAGGTAGGCCCACTTACTTACAGGCCTATCACACACGTCGGTTTCGGCACACCTCTACCGACTTTTTGATTATTGTGATAAGTATACTCTCTAGCTATTTCATACTATACTGAAATGGCCCCGACCACAAATATATTATAAAATAAATAATATTTAAAAATAAACAAAAAATAATTATTTTTATATATATATATATATATATATATATATATATATACACATATTTATATATATATATAAACAAAATAGAAAGTCCTTGCACTCATGCTTAGAATAAAATATTTATATATGTATATATATATATATTTATTCATGTAGGGTAGTGATCAGCACTCACAGTCTTTTAGTGGTTAAAAATCTTCAAGCTTTATTATAAATCCATTAAAAAATTAGATCTCATTTTTAAGGGATTTATAATAAAGCTTGAAGATTTTTAACCACTAAAAGACTGTGAGTGCTGATCACTACCCTGCATGAATATATATATATATATATATATATATATAAATATATATATATATAATGTTTTATTCTAAGTGTATTTTGATATAAATATATATATATATATATATATATATATATATCTATGTATATGCCCTTAACGACCATG